AGGTTGTTATATATAACCGTTTCCGAATTATTCCTGTTAACAAAATTCCAGTCTGAAATTAAAACGTGTCTATGTGTGTATTGTTAATATTTGCACAAAAGTAATTAACTGAGCACTGAGTGCTCCCACCCTGGGCGTATTTTATTTGTTTCGAGTGTTAGAGCAAAACAATTATCTTGACTGAATCCATTGCATGAACCTTGACGCCAAGTTGTTTCTTTGCACTGTGTCTTTTTTAACACAATTCATGTAAAAATATACATTTGAAACCTAGCGTTGGAATGTGAGAGTTCGACAAGGTGAGGAAGATTTTTCAGGTAGATTTAGTAGCTTAACACGCGTATGACGTACATTTATACGGGTGCATTGTCTTAGGGGACATTCTTACCGTAACCTTATTAGCCTGTTGATTTCTTTCTATCAGATGATTTATGAATAACTTATTCGATATAATTATATTGTGCTGTGATAATTTGGGATAATAAATGGCATGCATATTCTATAAAAACATTTAAATTCGGTGAGTCTTTGTTAAAGAAATAAAATGTATGATGGTCCGAAGATTTTCCAATACATGTATACATGTTGTTTTTTTTTTAATTTAAAGAGATTAATCATTTTGTCTCTAAATAATGATCAGAAAATATTAAATTAATATTGGAGAAATAAATGATGATCAAGAATGAAATTGTGCATTCCACACCGGTAAGATTTTTTTTTACTGCGAATTGATTCAAAATATTATTAAAGTTCTCAGAGGCTGAAGAAATCCAATTAATTTATTCAAAGAAAAACTTGCGTATAATCCATGTCTGGAATTGTGAGAATAAAACAACATGTACAATGTCCTATGATGATATATCATTTCCGTTGAAAATTGAAATTAAATTTGTACAAATTGCATAAATGTGAGCAACACTTCCGAAGCTAACGTTATTTTGATGATCATAGGTCACTTTCACTTTGTCTGGATTGTTGTTTTTAATATGATAGATTTTTAAGAGTTCCATACATATAATTTAGAACTGTTTCTCAAAATCAGTTTTTTTTCCTCAAAATAAAATGTGTTTACAAGAAGTGTTTAATGATAAAAACAACAAAAAAAAACCAAACAAAAAACGAAACACTGTCGTATTTCATCTTCTTAAGCATGACTAGAATCGTTAACAAATATACTTTATACTTAAGTGGCGGCATGGCCGAGTGGTTAACGCGTCGGACTAGTAATCTAATGATCGCTAGCCGTATGGGTTCAAACCCCGTCAGGGGCAAGTCGTTGTTTCCTTGAGCAAGAAACTTTACACTCATTGCTCAGTACTGGTTGGTTCCAGGAACGGATTCGAAAGTGTGTCTATAAGCTTATAGCTTCCTACACAATCGAACTAAAAAAAAATTCTGTATAAACCAAATATACTTTACCCTCAAAGAACATTGTATGTGATCGCAATCAAATTGTCCGCGAACACTCAAGTCAAATGTTCGCATTCAGTCTGAAATTAAAACGTGTCTATGTGTGTATTGTTAATATTTGCACAAAAGTAATTAACTGAGCGCTGAGTGCTCCCACCCTGGGCGTATTTTATTTGTTTCGACGCCAATACAGTACATTATGAAAAAAAATAGTTTAAGAAAAAGAAACAGGTTCTACTGAGATATATTACAAATGACAACATAACGTCACACTTCAAAGCATTAGCTAAAACAATTTTCAATATAAACGTTTTGTAATACTTTGAGGCACAAACGTGTAAGTAATATTTGCCGCAAAATTATTTGTTTTTGGACAATTAAAATCCTGGTTTTGATTCATGACTGTTCTAGAAAATTCATATGGCATAAATAATTGCAGATTCAGTAAATGAAGTTGTTAATGGGGTAAAATTGGATTAGAAATACATTTTTTTACCGAAGAAACTAATAAGTAGCGATCTCTTTTGTCATAAAGTATGCACGGATACTAAACAAAATCGTGCCGAGGCAAACCTCTAAATATACAGCATAAGGCTCTTTGGTAATCTTTGTAAACAAAAATCTCATCTTTATTCGTTATGTGTAGAAATATAAATACTAAACATGCTGAAATGTATATACATCGCAATACAATGGAAACCTATATTGATTAATTTCGCACATATTGGCTTTTCTCCAAGTCAAACAGTTTCAGATGAACATATTAGGCATAAAACTAAACGAAAATAATTTGCATTATACCTGCAGATAATCTGTTCATTTGTTTTTATTTACGTTTTAAGACAAGAACGGCCGACTGTTAAACCATGTTAATCTTCCAATTGAAACACGATCAGTTGTTCATCACCGGAGCTTTTTTATTATTATGTCTGTCTTATATAGATGAGCTTTTGCAATACATCAGTTGGAATAAAGTAAAGTACTTTTCAAATCGGTTTAGACTGTTGTAGAGCCATTTTTAGCTCGACTATTCGCAGAATAATCGAGCTAATGCAGTCACCCATTTGTCGGCGTCGGCGTCCCTGTGGTTAAGTTTTTGTATGTAAGCTGGTATCTCCATAACTACTGAAGGGAATGGATTGAAACTTCACACACTTGTTCTCTGTGATTATCTAAGATGATTGGCACAAGTCCCATAACTCTGATTTGCTTTTTTTTTATAATTATGCCCCTTTTTCGACTTAGAAATTCTTGGTTAAGTTTTTGTATGTAAGCTGGTATCTCCATAACTACTGAAGGAATGGATTGAAACTTCACACACTTGTTCTCTGTGATTATCTAAGATGATTGGCACAAGTCCCATAACTCTGATTTGCTTTTTTTTCATAATTATGCCCTTTTTTCGACTTAGAAATTCTTGGTTAAGTTTTTGTATGTAAGCTGTTATCTCCATAACTACTGAAGGGAATTGATTGAAACTTCACACACTTGTTCTCTGTGATTATCTTAGATGATTGCCACAAGTCCCATAACTCTGATTTGCTTTTTTTCATAATTATGCCCCTTTTTCGACTTAGAAATTCTTGGTTAAGTTTTTGTATGTAAGCTGTTATCTCCATAACTATTGAAGGGAATTGATTGAAACTTCACACACACATGTTCTCTGTGATTATCTAAGATGATTGGCACAAGTCCCATAACTCTGATTTGCTTTTTTACATAATTATGCCCCTTTTTCGACTTAGAAATTCTTGGTTAAGTTTTTGCGTGTAAGCTGGTATCTCCATAACTACTGAAGGGAATGATTGAAACTTCACACACTTGTTCTCTGTGATTATCTAAGATAATTGCCACAAGTCCCATAACTCTGATTTGCTTTTTTACATAATTATGCCCCTTTTTCGACTTAGAAATTCTTGGTTAAGTTTTTGCATGTAAGCTGGTATCTCCATAAACTACTGAAGGAATGGATTGAAACTTCACACACTTGGTCTCTGTGATTATCTAAGATGATTGGTACAAGTCCCATAACTCTGATTTGCTTTTTTTGCATAATTATGCCCCTTTTTCGACTCATGAATTCTTGGTTAAAGTTTTTGCATGTAAGCTTGTCTCTCCATAACTACTGAAGGGAATGTATTGAAACTTGAAGAGTTTGTACCTTTTCGGACAATTTTATGTATTCATATAGGTAAGCATTATTATACTCAATGAAACACCCTTGTGACAAATTTTCGAATAGTCGTTACTGTCCTCCGACAGTTCTTGTTGTTTTTTTAATTGTTGGTGCAATTTGAAACGATTTTGCAAACAATGCAAATTTTAATGTTGATGAGGGTTAATTAATTCAACTTCATCGAAAAAAGAATAATTTACGGATATATTATTAACCTGTATTTAACACATTCGATAAATTAAGTAAAGAGTCTTACCGAAATTAACATAAATCTTAAAGCAGCATGCCTCCAAATGTCGGCTTGTATTCATGAATGTTTTTTTAATTAGTTCAAAAGTAAGTTATTATTAACAAAAAGTAATTTTCACATTGCAATTGGCGATTACAATCGACGTAATTTACTATAAATAGGCCAGTCAAACTTGCCCTTACTGCTTTAGTCACGCAGTAGAAATATCGTGATAAGCATTGCCGAATGTTTGCAAGAAAACGTATTCGTCAAAAAAGTAATGTCAATTTTAAGTATTAACTGAATAATGTATAACTGTAAATAGGTAATTAAAACAAAACAATACAGTACTAATTGAAATGGGTTTTGTATTGTGCTTGAAATGACAAGGAAATATCAGCTAAACAAATGATTACTATAATCATTATGATATCGATATAAATATATAAGTAAAGTAATATAAGTAAATATATAGTAAATTTTCCCAGAGGGCATGGCGTTCTTTGAACACAGTTGTCTCAATGAATTTGTCTAAATCAAATAATACCAGTTTTTGTAATTAAATTATGCTTTATTTTGGATAAATATTAATAAGAGTGATTTAAAATGTTTGCCAGAAATATGTTTGCATGTGATCTAATTAGTGTCATAGTAATCCGATTATTTTCCCTACTGAAATAATGAATTAATAATTAACGATAGACCTAAAATTTGAATTAATAAGAATAAAATAACTGCATATTATTAATAACAGTAATTTAATAATATTTTCACCACGTTGTAGCAATTAAAGGTAATGAACTTTTATTATTCAAAGAACTTTTTTTGTTAATCTGAATTCGTGTCTATGACGACAAGCTTAAAGCCATTGATGTACGGAAACAACTAGTGATCAAACAATTGAACAAACTTTAATCCATGCTGTTATCTATAATGGGTTTCTTTCTGGATTTGAAGAATGAAATAGGTATATTCTGTGTATTTTTTCAATTAACAGTGAATGCAAGTCAAATCTAGTGGAAAGGTTCAACGTATTCTTTTGGCTCGTTAATTCATTAAGGAAATTATTAGTTATTAAAGAACGATGTATTAAAAACATAATAAAACATCTTTGAAAATATTTATAACAGTTAATTTTTCAATAATTACAGTAATTTATAAATTTCATACATTCATCTGTTTTATTGTTGTTGTTTTTTTTGCATCAGACCGTGCAATTTAATTCAAACAATGCACTAATCAAAATCATTAAACATTCTCAGTTTGTGTTTTAAGAACATATGTAACGTTTGATAACTAAGAAATAAAATTAAAATTGTATTTAAATACTCATAGGAATGAATACCTTAAAGGCATGGAAAGTTATAAATCGCAGTCATAAATCGTTGTTTTCAGGCATTCATAAGGTTGATATATTCACTGATACCAGCGGTTATATCAATCTAAAGCTGTGTCCATATTTTGTCACATTTTATCAAGAAGTGTTGAAAGTTCACTGGGAGATTTGACCAAACGTGCCCCTTTCTTAGAAGTTATTGGAATCCGGACTTTCACTGTACTTCTCTCCTTGACGATCGTTCCAGTCTGTTCTGTGTTTATAACATTTAGATCGTGGCTTAGATTTTGTTGTACGGATGGTTTGTGTCCAAGTAATAATAAAATATCATCAACTGTCTGAAAAAGATCGTCTTCAAATTTCCCCATACGTCTGAAGAAAAAAAAACAACAACAATGTTAGCAATGGTTATTATAATGATAATATTATTTAGATAAGAAAGAATACTGATAATGATTTCTTTGCTTGGTTATGTATCGGAGGTCGGCATTCCGCGATAACTTACCATATGTTCAGAAAAAGACAGACTCTCCAAACTTATTTGCAATTCAGCAGTGAGAGAAAGATGTCGATTGTCAATTGTTTTTGTTTTTTAAAAGTTGTCCGAAAGCATGAACTTTGAACAAATGATAAAAAATGATATAATGTACACATGTACATGTAATTAAAGTTAACAAAAGTTGACAAACTCATTTATTAGTTTTTACCGGACGAGTTGTAAAATCAGTTTCAATATTTTTAAATAAACTTCACATCTGATATATAATGTAATACAGCTTACTCTGATAAATGTTCTAAACGTTTGTCAATATCACCCATAGCGTGATTTGACCCCTGGTTAGATATACGACCTTCGATTTGCCCTTGACCCCAAGAGAAACGCTGACCTCCACTAGAGATAGATTTTGGTGTATATGAAGTTGCTGACAAAGAAAATGAAATTATGAAATGATGTATCAAAATTGTAAATAATTCATAATCTCATCGCGACTAACCAATAATTGATATCGTAAATCGTTTATGTAAGAATTGAAACTACCTAAATTGTGAAAAAAGCAGCCCTACTTTTTCAACAACTGAGCGTAACCGATACATCCTGAACAATATTCATAGAAATTACAGTTGATCACGTGACTAACATGTAGCTTTTTTTGTAAAATATAATACTACACACAGTTATTGCAATAGTTAAGTGTAGAAAAGCATTTTCGTCTAAACATTTCAAACATAGATGCTACTGTAAACATTATCATTATTGTTGTCACATAAAAGGAAATAAAAAAGAAAAAGACACGTTTAACTAAACTAAACTGAATAACACTGTACTGATAGAATCGCATTTTACCTGTAGAAGCGCCTGGTGAAGATCTTTTTAATGTATGGCTCGAGCAACTTGTCTTTGATGCTAGTGTATGCCGATGTTTCTGTGAAACACCTTGGTCATCTTCTGAAATTACGACGATTGTATAGGTCAGTTTGTATATTATGATAAATAATCATAAATCATGTTACTTTAAAAAGCAAAACATATTTTTGGCAGACAACACTAAAGTACGTAAAATAACATTAAGTAAAAATGTAATCATGTCATCCGAATGTTAAGAGCATATCATCCATAAATAACTTTGAATAATAAATTACATTTAGATTGATGGTTTTATCTGATATAGGCTATCTAGTTTTCTTATTTTAAAAAATTTTCTTAACTCATTTCACCCGTTTTAATTCGTTGAATTTGTGATTGAAATTGATACTGGCACACACTAACTTGTAGTTACATGTAAGCTAGATGAACTTTGTTTTATATCCAGTTTCAATTCTTTGGTAATTCATATTCATAAACACACTACATGGTAACAAATAAAAACAACTTAACTGGAGCAGGTGATTTAAAATGAAAAATAATCTAAGTGGTTGAAGTTTGTCCAAAACAATGATCTATTACAATTTTATAATATAATATTTTCGATTTTATAATCCCAAAGAAACAATGAAAAGATTATGTATTGACAAACTTGGTTGCGGTGACGATTGATGGCGCCTGTCCTCAAACTCCTTGTCAATATCAGTATAGGCCTGTTCAGGTGATAGTTCCAACATATGAGATCCAAGGTTATCACAACTTTCAGTCTGTGAGGCGCTGTGCTTTCTTCCCCTTGTCGCCACACTGACGGCTGTACCTTTATTTAAGTCAAATTCATAATTTATGTTAAAGAAATACTTTTAAAAAGGTTATGGAAACAGTAAAATACATGAATGCTATTTCCGTTAATACCAAGGAGAAAAATAAAGTTTAAGATACATGTAGTTTTAAAAGTAGTAAATCTTAAGATAGTTTTTAAAAGTAGTAAACGTACATCATTACAACATAAATGTTGCAGTTGCAGAATAAATAATAACCTTTTCGTGTCATACCTTGTATGAACCCATTAATTTTTCCTACCAAAAAGCACACACAACAAAATCATTTATTTACCTACAATATCGACAAGTTTTCCTTTTGACTGCATATGTGGACGTTTTTGTCTGATGAATCGCAGTTTTTCTTCATCTATCTTCGATTTCTTACGTGTTTCAAATAAAGTCCCCTATAGTTATATATAATATCATATTTTTCTATATAAAATTCAAAGTACTTATGTTGGCTATCATAGTTCGATATATAATTGAAGTTTAACGGGGGTCAAACGAACGTTTGCATTACTGGTAATATGATTACATGGCAATGATACTCCATGGAAAGCTCGTAATCAAGATGTACTAGCATCCAGTTAAAGTGACATTATGCCCATTCAAGGGTGTAAACTGAACAGGTGAAAGTCAAAATAAATTTTAATTTTTGTCATATTTTAATACACTTCGCATGACCAATTATTAATTAACATGATCCATTGATTAAAAAAACTTCTATCGGAAACTACCTGTATTGCTTAAAACGTTTGACTGTCTTTTTTTTTTAATTTAAGGCAATCATATATTTTATCCTTAACATTTTGGAATGTCTATTGTTGGACAGTCACCATTACATCAATCTTTTGAAATATGAAGTTAATTTATCTCAACTAAATAATAACAATGCTAAAATGATCATAATTAATGGATAATAATTGCAAGGGACTTCCTCAAACATATTAAAAACATAAATGCAGAAATCGTAATTATTTGGCTAAATTACTTACCCGCTTCAAATTGAATGTAACTCGGATCTTAGACATAAATTCACTGGAAAATTCTGGATATGAGTGAAGTGTATCTTTCAGGTCGGACAACTCTATTTTGTTTATATCACAGTAACTTAAAGCACGGACAAAATAAAGAGATTTCCCCGTAGTGTTCAAATCTTTAAGGTCTCCGCCAAATATGTCATCCTTACCTGGAATAGAATGAAAGAAAAGTTACAAAAAGAAACAAAATTGTTGTTAGAAATAACCTAAACAAACCGTGTAAAATTCAGAGTTCTATGAAAATTAATTATGACGCTATTGTGATAGATATTTCATAAAATTAAAAATGTAATTGAAATAAAATAAACATATATGTTGAAACATATTTATTGATAGATCCCTACTGCTCTTTTGTTAACAAATAGTTTGTGGTGAAATTATTATTGTATCCACTATTCTGATAATAAGAATGATCTATTCAGTATATAGTCTAGATAGTCAGACTTTTTCACAGTATAAGTAATATAGTGACATTTTAGGTACAAGTTCTTATCGTGCAGAATAGTCCTTTCCGATAACCGTTGTTACCTCCCCTGGTACGGTTGTCGTTCTTGATCAATCCACTTCCGGTGAGCAAAAAATTTTAATGGCGGATAAGGAAAACATTGATATCGATTTTGACACAGCGACAATTCCAATTTTAAAGGATTTTTTACGTGATCGAGGATTTCCTGTTTCGGGGAATAAAAAGGAACTTATTGAGAGGTCTAAAGGTGTAATTACTTTAGGAAAGAAACCATTATCTGTGCTCAGAGAGAACGATTTACGTGAGAAAAATAGCCGCGAGTTAAGTAGGTTTAGAACACCACTTGGTGAATCTCTCCCACGCCCGGAGGCGTTATGTGATGGATGGACTGAAAACGTACATGATTTCCCAAATTTTACTAACAATGAACTTTACAACTATTTAGTGCTAAGTAAAGAACGGACTTGTGACGGCGCATCGAATAAAGCCAGTAGGCAGTTGAAAGCCAAGGTTTTTTACGAGGACAGGCATGTACATTCTGTGCAATACCATCATATAAACACTGAAATTAGTCATTGTTATATACGATCCAAGGTAATTCCTTCCTTACCAACGCCTGGAAAGAAAGACTACGATGTATGGACATGTCTGTCCAAGGTTACAGGTCGAGTTCATTCAGCTGGATGCAACTGCAATGCTGGGTTAGTATACATTAAATCAACTGTTAAATAGTTTAATTGGAAGACATAAAATCAGATATTTAAAAAAAATTAATTTAAACTTAAAGCATCATGCTTACAGATTTTCACTCAAGCCGGTGCTAGGGGGCACTAACTTATTAAGGTACCCGTTCTGACTGAAATAATGCACGGAAGGGCACCTGAGGTCTTCCTCCACCAGTACAGCTGGAATGTCGCAATATCATGATATGAACTATGCTGTGTCGTTGTGACGTAAAACCCAAAACAAACTAAAAAACAAAATTTATACTGCACAACGGCAGGTGTCAAGTGCAATGTGGTAGCTGTAAAAAGTTGCCCCACTCGTCAACTCAGTGTTGTTATATTTTTCTGCCTTCGGGATCATTGCCAGCAGTATTAAGTGTTATGAATTGAGTACCACGCAAGTCGGTGCTAGGGGGCGTGAGGGGTATTGCAGGTTTTCATTATCTCTCATGTACAGTCTCAATCAAACCGAGTCTGCAATTTTCATGTACATTGTAATTTTTGATTAATGCCACGGCGATCCAGATTTTTAAGGTTATTTTCATAAAAATAATTGAAAATGTATTTAAAAGATAAACAATGTGAAATGAAATATCCTTTAGTAAATAATAATTCATTTCAAGTTTACATTTATGCATTGGACAAGTGTTGCTTGTCAGCATACCCAACTATCCTGGAATCAAATCCATATTTGTCACTAAAAAAATTATATTTGAATTTAATTCTGGTGTTGATAAGTTTTAAAGTTATGATTTATGTATATTTCAGTGAAGGTGAATCTTTTAATCATGTAGCAGCACTCATGTACGCCCTTGAGGACATCAGCCACAAACGTGCCGAGGGACTGGATGCATGCACATCAGGTCACAAGTGGAAAGAGCCCCGGAAGAGGCGACTATCACTGAAAAAGTCACAAGATCTACTGTTCAAGAAACACAAATTTAATGATGAACGTAAAGATGAACATGTACAGTCACCAAAGCCCAAAGTAAGAACAGTAAAGCAAGTGGACACCAAAACATTTGCCGATAAACTAGAGAAGGTAAATCCCCATGCCTATTGGCTTCTATCAACATATAAGACTGTTCAGTCATCAGAGCAAATTAAAGTAGGTTCAGTGACAAAGTGTTACCATGACCATGTTAATTTGGATTCTGACACAGTGAGAAATGAGCTCAAAGAAGAAATGAACAAGATCATAGTGTCACAAGCAGATATTGAAAGAATTGAAAGTCAAACTAAAGGACAGGCTAAAAATGAAAAGTGGCATCAAGCCAGGAAAAATCTTCTGACTTCTTCCAATTTTGGTCTTGTATGCAAAAAAAGGACAATACTCCACCAGAGTCTATTCTGAAGACAGTGCTATCCTACAATGACTTTTCATCAAAGGCTACTCAATGGGGAGAACATGAGCCTGCAGCAAGGAGAAAATACTCATTAACATTTGGTAAGGCACATGACAATTTTAAAGTCAGTGAATGTGGACTTTTGATATTTGAAAATATGCCATATCTGGGTGCAAGCCCGGATGGACTTGTAGAGTGCACCTGCTGTGGGATGGGGATTCTCGAAGTGAAGTGCCCGTTCAGATATAGATTTTAAAGCCCTATGATGGCTGCCAAGGACCCAAGCTTTTATTTAAATGAAGTGGATCAGAAATTACAATTAAAGAAAAACCATAATTATTATTTTCAAGTCCAGGGGCAATTAGCCATTTCAGGCAGAAAGTTCTGTGATATTTTTGTTTGGACTTTACAGGGATATTCTGTTGAAAGGATATACTTTGACCCTCAGCTCTGGCAGGACATGTCACATAAACTTCAAAGTTTTTATCTGAACTGCATTATGCCGGAGCTTTATTCTGAACGAGTTAAACGTGGGAAACCTTTAAAGTGAAAAACATTTGGATGTAGGAAATGTGTATCATAAATGTATATTGTGAGAAACAAAACAACAGGAAAATGCAAAATTGTCATAATATTGATAATCATACCATATTGTCAATTTGATCTCATTATTTTTATTTAATTTGATCTGATCCAGTCTGTGTCTGTCATTCTGTGACATGTACATGTAATTATTTATTCATTTATCAAAGTTTTGTTGTTATATTATGTGTATGCTATATGTGTAATTTGTTCTAGTCTGTTCATGTGATGTAAATATTTTTTTCTAGTCTGTTCATGTGATGTAAATAATGTTTAATAATAATGAAATACAATAATAAACATATTATTTTGAAGAAATGTCAGGGTTAGTGCAGTCAAATCAGAGTCGTTATTAAATTTTATCAAATTTTAGAAAACACATCGGGTCGCGATCCTACCAGTTATTATCGGTCCCTTCCTTTTACACTTTAAGGCTTACATTCAGAATCAGGTTATTCAAAATAAAGTATGTCGATACTGTATTTCTATTACTTTACGTTAAGTAGAATTCTAGCTAATTTAAACCATGACAAGAAATTTACTAAAATACATATTCTTTAAATCAGATGAGTAAAGTTCACTGACATCAGCACCAAACGCAAAGGACCACAAGAAGGCAAGAAGTGGCGTATAATGTTTTTAAAGGAATTAAAAAAAATTTGTCATCTGCGCACTTTAATGCCCCCAAAA